AAGAGGCAGCGGCTCTGCCTGCACGTCCCTGCCTGTGGCCCTGACCCCGTTCTCCCCGGGGTGGCCAAGTGCCTCTCTGCTCCCTGCCTGCAATTAATCATGCATCCTCTACTGAGGGGGACAGGGCTGTCCCCACTGCCCCCTCTGCCCTAAACGTAGATACCCGGTGGATGAGAGCAGGTTGTTGGAAGGTGGGAGGGTTGCACAGCAGTTTGGATGGCAAACCGGGAAATGTGGGTGCTTTTTCCTGCCTTAGCACTGGGGTGAATCACCCATGCCCTTAATTCACCTCTGAAGTCCCTGGGGAGCAGCACCCAGGTGCGTGGCAAGGTGATGGGAAAGGCAAGTGCTGGATTGTCTGTTAATGCCTTATCCCCTCCACCCTCGTGCTCAGTATCTGGGGTGTGTGTTTATCTGGGGGCTCCGTGACCTCGTTAGGGCTGTGTGAAAAGCCCAGAGAGTTCTGGTGGGCTCTGAAGGGGGAGCTTTGCTGCCTCTCCCAGCCTGCAGCATGGGGACATCTGGGTGGTGTGACACCTCCCAGCCTTTTAAACACTGGTCTCTCACCTCAGCCCTCTATCCTCTCTCTGTGCAGAGACGTGTGCTGTGAACAACGGGGGCTGTGACAGCAAGTGTCACGACGCAGCCACAGGTGTGCACTGCAGCTGCCCCATGGGCTTCATGCTCCAGCCCGACAGGAAGACCTGCAAAGGTAGGTGGGTGCCAGTGGGGCTGGGATGTTCCCTGCTCACCCCTGGGTGACTCAGACTCTCTCATGTGTCCTCAGTGCCCTTGGAAAAGGGATCACCCCTGGGCCTGGGAACTCAGCTACCTTGCTGAAGGCACCATGGTTAGCCCCACTCCCCCAGGAAGCCCGTGGGGAGGAGGGAAGGGGGGTCAGGTCAAGTCAGAGGTGAAGGCATGGCAGCTGTGGGGATGGGGGGTCCCATCCCACCTTGCTCCTCCCCACTGCCTCAGTTTCCCCATGGGTAGAGGCTGGATGTGATGGAATTCCACACGCAGTCTGAGAATCTGGGATGCACGAGTCCCTCTTCCGTTCACCATCTGAGCCCCATGTCCAGTTGGGAGGGAACACCACAGGATGCTGTGTGCCCCTGCATGTCCCCATCCCCCTGCCTCTGCAAGGGAGAGCAATCCCAAGTGGCCACCCCAGCTCCCAGACCTGCTCCCCTCAGGCAGGGGGACACGGTGACCCCGGGGCTGCCGGCGCCTGGGTTTTGTCTTTCAGCAGCTCCGGGAACTTGACCCCAGTTGAAAGGAAAACCCATCCCACTGCCAGCTGCCTTCCTACCTGCTGACTGCTTCCAGAACCCTCCTGCCCCCTGTTATTTTATCAGAGCATCCCCCTCCCCTGCTTCCCCAATTCTGCAGTTTCCAGGAACGTGCAATAACCTGGAGCCACATCCCCTGTGTCTGGGGTTTTATGACGGCTGGGGGCTGGGGAACAGCGCGCTCCCTCGCAGTCGTAAAAAGAAAACCCCAACCCCAGAGAGGCAGAAGCTGCTGCCCCACCAGTGGTGGCTGGGGCTGGGGGGACAGGGAAGGCGTCTTCCTAGTCTCCTTCCATTTTACAGGTCATGTTCTAGCAGTAAATTCTATGTTAAGTAGAAAAAGGAAAAAAACAAACCGAACAACAAAACAAAACAGGGAAAAAAAACCCACATCCCAGCCTCTTCCCACGTTGTTGGGGCTCTTTGCAGTTTGTGCATTGTCATTTTTAGTTTTGTTCGTGGCAGGATCAAGATGGCAAGCAGAGAGGGAAGGGTTGAAGTGCATGGATTTTGTTGAGCAGTACTTTTTGAGGAAGGTGCTTTTCCCTCCTGGCTTGGTCTTTCTTCCTGTTGCTCCTCGTCTCCAAAAGCAGCCCCCAACACAAACCTGTGACCCTGCAGACTCTGCCCTGGTGCTTCCCCCAGCTGTGAGGCTCTTTTGGAACCCCTGCCCCCCTCTCCTCCAGGAGATCCTGAGACCTGCAGAAATGGAATGTTTTGCTCATCTTCCAAGGGCAGCCAAGCTCAGGAGCTCTGCCCTCCCCCAGTGTCCCCAGTGTCATGTGTTGGCTCCCCAAATGCAGCCAGTTAAAACCAGCAGCCACATTCTCCTGGTGACCATCACAGCCCAAAGGTTTTCCTTCACTTGCTGCCTCCCAGTGGGGACAGGGTCCAGAGGGGAAGACCTTTCTCTCCCAGCCAAGCATCCCAGCAGGAGTGTGACTCGTGTCCCCTGTCCCCACCAGACATTGACGAGTGCCGGCTCAACAACGGCGGCTGCGACCACATCTGCAGGAACACAGTGGGCAGCTTCGAGTGCAGCTGCAAGAAGGGCTACAAGCTGCTCATCAATGAGAGGAACTGCCAAGGTAAGGGGCAGCAGGACCCCCACCCCCTGCCCTGCCTGGGGACACCCCCTCTCCTGCCCTCCAGCACTGCTCAGCCCTCCCACGACGGCTTGAGGAGCGCTGGCCTGGTTCCTCATTCCTCTTTGCTCTCCTCTGGACCATCTACATCCTCTGGGGGATTAGTGGTGGATTTGGGTTCTGGTCTGGAGCTTAGTGCTTTGATCTGCAGAGCTGGGCTGCTGTCCCAGCCCTGCTCCTAAGCTGGGGATTTCTGGACTCTTCTCATGACAGAGTCAAAGCCAGCAGTTAGGCAGATCCCTAGTGAAATCCTCCAGCCTTCCTCAGGGCTGGAATGACTGTCATGATGTCCCCTGCAGCCCCATGGGTTGGGACACAGCTCTGCCCAGGCACAGGCACCATCCCTGCCAGCAGCCCTGGGGCTGTTGCCCCTGCTCCAGAGCACCCATGTCAGGGGACCCCAGCAGCCCCCTTGTGTCCCATGAGGGCACCCTGAGCTCATCACCTTCTGGTGACCACTTTAATCTCCATTCAGGTTCTGTGCTCTTGGGAATTTGCTCCTGAAGTCACCCCATGCCAAGGATATGGTGCTGGCTCCATTTGGCACATTTGAGGTGCAGAGGGGCTGTAGGAGCTCAGGGAGGGGGGGATGCTGATCCAGTGGGCTGCTCCTCCCAGGTAGCAGCAACTACCGTGGGCAGGGTGGGAGAACAGGATTTTGGAGCATCCCTGTGCTAGATCCCCAGAGCATCCTGGTGTGGGATCCCCAGAGCATTTTGGTGTTGGATTTCCAGAGCAATCCAGTGCTGGATGCCAGAGCATCCCAGTGCAGGGTCCCCACAGAATCCCAGTGCTAGATCCCTGGTGCAGCCCCCAGGTTGCTGGAGCAGGAAGGGGACAGCCTTGGTGCCAGGAGCTGTCCCCCGTGCCATGCCAGCCCTCACCTCTCCCTTTTCCCCTTCCCTCAGACATTGACGAGTGCTCCTTTGACCGGACCTGCGACCACCTCTGCATCAACACCCCTGGCAGCTTCCAGTGCCTCTGCAACAAGGGCTACACACTGTATGGGCTCACCCACTGTGGAGGTAGGGCCAGGGGGACACTGGCAAGAAGGTCCCATCACCCCACCAGGTTCTGCTCCCAGGGAGTCACACAGAGTACCCAGAGATGGGGCAGCCCCCGTGGCACGGTCGCTGCAGGACCCCTGGGGACACCACTCAGCCCAAGAGCTCACAGAGAAGGTTGTTTCCCTGTGTATCCTGAGCTGGGGCCAGGCAGGGATGGGGCTGCAGCCAGACACTGGTGTCTGCAACATCAAACGGGGCGACAGGAACAGTTTGCGACTTGTCTAGAGCAGGAGAGAGGGAGAAATCCCCGGCGTTTTTGGCAGGGAGCTGGGATGGGGTGGGAAGGGGAACATCAAAAGGGTTTGATTTAAGTTCCAGCAGGCAGATAGCTCCCAAGGGCAGGGGCGTGTGGTGCCCTGGAAGTGGGGAGGCAGATGAAGCACACTTTGGGGGGGATGCTGGAGCACATTGCAGCAGTGTCAGCCTGGGGAGGTGGTGGCATGAGACCGAGTGTTCCAGCACTGCCTGGCCAGGAGGGGGGATGACCCTCCTCATGCTCCCAAAACATGCAGCTGGCATGAACCAGCATGGCCCTGGAATGCTCTTGTTGTGACCCTGCAATGGAAGGGGTCACTGGCTCCCATGGATGCTCCTGAGAAGGAGGAGTGGGGCAGGAAGGGCTGTTTGGGGGCAGCTCCATCCCTGCCTGACCCCCACCTCTGCCTCTGCTTCATGCCAGGGTTGGCCCCTGTTTCAGGCCAAGGTTCCCCACCATGGGGAGAGGGGCCAGGGCTGCTGAGCAGCTGCCTTTTGAATTCAGCTGCTAAGTGCTTCCATGTCTGCTCTGGCTGCTGCTCCCTGCAGCTCCCCAGCCCAGCGGGGGGCTCAGCCTGGGTGGGCTGCACCCCTCACCACCCAGCCCTGGGGGCACCAGGGCTCGGGGTTTCCCTCATCCCCATGAGGTTGGCGTGGTCCAAAATCCCATCCCTGAAATGATGCAGCTGCTCAGTGTCAGAGCCAGGGGGGATCCCACTCAGCCCCCTCACTCACCCCCTCTCCTTCCTCCCTTGCAGACATCGACGAATGCAGCATCAACCGAGGGGGCTGCAAATTTGGCTGCATCAACACGCCTGGCAGCTACCAGTGTACCTGTCCCACTGGCTGCAAGCTGCACTGGAACAAAAAGGACTGTACTGGTAGGTTGGGGCAGGAACCATCACAGCTGGGGACACTCCAGCATAGCCTGAACATCTCGCAGCCAGAGCAACCCGATGTGGCCCCTCCATCACCTGGGATTCAGGTCAGGGTGGGGGGAGCACAGGGAGTTTTGGGGTATCCCAGCACAGGGCTGCTCTAGGCAGGGCAGCCTTTGGCTGTGGCCCTGTGCCCATCTCCTGTGGGTCTGGCTGGGAAGGGCCATGAGGTGTTGCCCTGCTCCCTCTACCCTTGGTCATCTAGTTGCTTTTTTGTGCTAGGGGCTGGCCAGGAGCTTTTGCACCCATGAGTGTCCCTATGGGAGCTGCTTTCATAGCCCTGGTACCCACCTGCCCCCCCAAAAATATTGAAGTGCCATCAAACACCTCTCACATCTCCAAGGAGGACCTGGGGGGGTTGGGATGCTGGTCCAGGGTCCCTGTGCTGCACTGCAGCACCCTCTCCTTCCCGGTGAATCCCCTGTGACCTGGGAGGGTGCAGGGGTCCCTTGCAGGTCCCCAGGCTGTGCCAGCCACGGGTGTCCCTGCTTGTCATCACCAGCTGGTGCGTGTCCCTCAGAGCTGGTGAAATGCCTGCCAGGTTCAGCACCACCACGAGCCACCCTCACCTGCAACAAGACAGGCAAGAAGGACAGCTGTGCCCTCACCTGTGCCTCCAAGGCCCGCTTTCTGCCAGGTACCAGCACCAGTGCCACCACCAGCACAGGCAGGGGGCCCCCATCTCCCTGCATGGCCCAAACGGGGAGGGAAGGGGCAGTTGCACGGCCAGAGTGCAGAGCACCCAGTAATGTTCAGAGGGAGGGAGTGGGTTCCTTGTGGGGGACTCATTTTAGGTGTAGATCTGTGGGACAGGTCCCTGGTGCAGGATCCCCATGATGTGGAGCTGGGAGTCCACCCCCCACAGCGCAGCTCCTGCAGAGCATCCCAAGGACTGGGCAGCTGTTCCAGCAGCCTCCAACTCTTGCTCCTCCTCCCCACAGAATCTGACAGCAGCTACACTGTGAGCTGTGGGACCCCCGTCCTGCGGCAGGGTGGCCAGCAAAGACCCACCAACAGCAGCCAGCAGTGCCTCGGTAAGGGGCTCCTGGGGTGCCCAGGGCCACCACCAGCCAGGCTGCCCCTCCCCAGGGTTGTTGAGCACCTGCCTTTTCTTTTAGAGACTGTTGCTGCACCAATCAAGCAAAAAGCTTCCTTCAAGATCAAGGATGCCAAGTGCCACCTGCACCCGCGGGCCAAGGGCAAGCAGGATGAGGCCGGGAAGGTCGGGGTGCAAGGTGAGGTGTGGTGGCAGTGGGGTGGTCGGGTGCCTGTCCCCCTGGGGGGGGTGGGGTCTGATCTGTTCCCCCACACACAGGTGGTTCGGCACCTTGCTCCGACTGCCAGGTCACCTTTGTCAACCTCAAGTGTGACTCCTCCAAGAAGGGGAAGGGCCGCCGGGCTCGCAACTCCTCCAACAAGGAGGTGACGCGCATCACGCTGGAGTTCGAGGCAGAGATCAAGCCAGAGGAGACCACAGGTGGGCACGGTGCTGGCTTGGCCTGTCTCAGGTGCAGGCAGGGCTGGTGGGACCAGGGAGGTGATGGTGGGAGCAGGGGGACAGTGGGGGGAGCAGAGGGACAGTAGTGGGACCAGAGAGCTGGTGGTGGGACCAGAGAGGTGCTGGGCTCAGGGGGAGGGTGGTGGGCTCAGG